TTTAAAAGGAGAAAAAGACGTGTGCATCCACATACGCCTTTTGGAGAGAGAGAGCAAAAGACGCGAAGCGTAAGAAATAGCTTAGATAAACCGAAAAGCTGCGAGCTGAAGTAAAGAAACGGGAGACGGATCTTCAGGTTGTACTTTTGGGGTAAACGGGAGAATCGTTTGCTTTAGAGGAAATCATGGCACACGTGGAGGTCCCGATGGGGGAGATGCAGGACCTACCAGAAAAACATAAATCTACGAACGGGTAATGAACGTGCAATTTCTTTTTAGATATGCATTAGGCTTTATCTAACTTAACCTATAAGCAAACGTCACACTGCGTTGACGCAGAGAGAGAGAGATCACAATTTAATTAGCTTATTATTACGGATATATTAATCATTATATTTTAATCAACGTGGGTAATTCAAGCGATATTTTGCGAAAATAATTTTGATTTGTTGAACAAGCAATTGGAAGAGCAGACTAGAAAATCAAGATGTAACATCTGTTATCTGATTTGTATTGTATTATTCGATCTTTCTGCTTACGTTATTTCGCAGATTTGAATTTCTGCAACTACCCCAGCTTCCACTTGGACAGATAGGCTATCCTCAGGCCCACGATTGGATCGAACACAGGAAGGCGAATGTTCGGCCATGGTCGTTATTCCTTAATACGAACAACATCAGACCGCCGCCTAACATAAGCAGACTGAGCAAACGGATTGTGAAGAATATTGAATACTTCCAGAGCAATTATTTGTTTGTATTTATTGGATTAGTGATATACTGCTTGTAAGTACTTTATTTTTATTTATGTCCATTTCTATCAACGCAGGTTAATTTTGATCTTGGTTTAACTTACCTGTCATCTTTTCCTAGTTCTAAAAGTTACAAAAAGATAGAAAGTAAGTTAAACCGAGATTAGAAGTTAATCTGCATTGGTAGAAATAGGCATTAGTGTTTATTTATAAGAAGATGCACCTAATTATAATTTAATTGATTAATTATTTCAATGTGATTTTTTGATATGGCAGTATGTGACAAAATCTGTAATTTTCTTTTTTTAGAATTACCTCACCTTTGTTGCTGCTGACAGTTGTCGCCTCTCTCGGGATATGTTACAAGCTGTCTCAGCGGCATTCGAGGCAGGAATTGATGGTGCTGAATCATAGATTAACCCTGGCGCAAGTGTA